CGAAAAAGTTTTGTGACAATCGGTAGATTTATTGCTGGGCACCGTTTCGCTTTTGACACAAAAGCTTCGTCAGGCAAAGTGACTAGGTTCGTTGCCCAACAATAAATCTACCGATTATCACCAAACTTTTTCGAAAACGAAGACGGTGTGGGATTTGAAAAAGCCCAAAAGCATGGGGACTCTTGTCCTTATAGGGGCAAATCGGGCAACTGTAGAGGAAGTCGGTTGCGTAACTCTTAAATTTAAGGCCGTTACCCGCATCTTCACGTCTTATTCTGTCGGTCATTACTACACAGACTGCCTAAATCGGAAGGATAGGATCTGTCCTAATCAGGACTATCCGACGATAGATTGATGGTCTATTTATTTAACCGGTCATTGTAACGGGGGAATAGATAAGTACGGAGCAGTAAGGTTGGAGTTTTGCCAAGTGCTGATAGTTGAAAGTGTTCAGGAAGACGGCGTAGCTTGTTTCATCTGCTGATTTTAATCGTGCATTTATGCTTATACTTGTTAACGCACCTGGTTCCCGGAAGGTCCACCGTAATGCTATCCGGGTTGAGAATCATATCTGTCGTCACGTTAATCCCGTTGTTACTGTTTCACACGGTACATTGCTGGGACCATTTAGGTCTGCTTCTTAGGCAGTTGGAATTAGTGCTCTCGGGGAATGTTACGATGTGGTATTTCTCATGAAGAATGTCAAGCTATTGGTCACGTGGTCTCGACCAAACCAACCATATGTCTCATTCAACTGCTGGTAGATGCAATGAATTTCGGAGACTGAAGGAGGAAGAGGCAGTTGGCAAACGGCACTAATTTTATCCTAATCCGTTAGATGAGCTAGTTTACGAAGATAGTATCGAGAAGCGGGTGCAGAAGCTGCCCCTCTGGGCCATATAGAACAGGGTTATTAGGGGGGAGGAATACCCGAAGTGATTATAGGAGAAAACTGCTGCTGTCTGGGTGCTGAAGTCAAGGCTAATCGTTGTTAAGCGACCGCACCTCAGTAAACCCACTGCTCATATTGTACCAGTTAGGTTGAATTTGTGTACTCCTGAAAAAACGGAAGGGCATTTCAAACAGTAGCTATCCAAGCTGTTTTGAAATGCACTGCAAAAACGGGTCAACTTGTGAAATGTCGGAAATACGGGGTGGGGGTGATTAAGATGGATACCTGCTAAATATGGGTTGTTTTGTCCTATGGTTTGTGTCAGATGAATAAATTGGGTAGGGAATTGTGAGTGAAAACAAACTGGAAGTGTGCACCAATCAGTCTAGTATATCATGGGTTTTTCGTTGTGGGTCCTTGTTCATGGACTGCTTTCTCACCGAGAACTCTTGGAATTGAAACAAGAGGTTTCAAATCTACTGGATCCAGAACAATCATTCAGGGGACTTTGCGGTCATGAGTGCGATGACTGGTTTCATGGAGACTGAGGAAAGCGATGTGCCAACGCTCCCACACTCACAGTATCCAGCCGTCAAAAGCTGTTGTTGATACAAAAATGCACTTGTCAGTTTACAACACGCCAGCCACAGAGCTGTGCCAATAGGCTGTTGCCAGCATGTTTTGTAGTCTTGGTTACAGTGTCATATCATTAGCAGGCTTTTACGATCACTGAACCAAAAATAATCACCTGACAGTATCAGTAATTCAAACTAATCTACTGTACATTAGCACTCATGACTCTACCAGAATACTTGATCAGAATTCTTCCCAATGACTGTGATCGACGTGTGTTTTCCTGTTTTCCAAACAGTTCATAGACTTCGAGTGAAAATGGTTTTAATGAAGTTTTCCAATAAATGACGTCACTTCAATGAGCAAATTTTATGTTTTCCCAGGATGTCTGAAATACTTCACACCATAGAAGATCGATTACATTTTTGCTTATTCTCAGAGGTTAAATTATTCCCCTGTTCTGCGTTTTCCCGGAGACTAATTGTTGTGTTTCCGTAACCAATGAACCGGAAACATGACTGATAATTTGGTTTTCTCCATAACTAGAATCAGCAAATGATACGTGGGTGTTTAGATACATCACGTTATGTTAACAGAAATGAAAGTGAAAATATTTTGTTTCGTTGGAAAATAATCCTGACTGCAACCAGTGGTATTATTCCCGTTGCTTACTGAAATGGTGTGTTAGTCAGTAGAGTGGTTTGATGCGTGTATTTTGGAGTAGTTTTACGCTAGAACCCATTCTCATTTCAGTGTTACTAAAGCTACAACTGTATGATACAGCTGTGAAATATTGATGAAAGATCAATCGTTTTGAGCATACGCAGGTTAGATTAATGTATGGCTTGTCAAGCTACCCAGCTCTCGGTTTGTGACGTGATCACATTTATCCATTGTTCTAGACCCACATTCGCGGCAAAAACAAATGGAATAATAACCTGGGCAGAAGAAGGTTAGAATGGCCTAGGGGGACCTAGGGGGATTTTGATGCAGGGGTGCATAAAGCTGGAACTCTCAAAAAGCGAATAATGAATGAATTATAGCTTGATCCTTGAAGAAGAGTGGTGCTGGAAAAATCTAAAGCAGAGTTGTAGCAACAATATCATCCGTATTGACAAACATGAGGTGATGGTAATCACAAACAAACTGAACTATGAAGGAAAGCTCATAGGAGATTTGAAGGCTGGGTTGTACATACAAATGGAGATAGACTAGCCACAGTTCCACTTAAGAAGACCAAATCTGAAGGAGGAAATAAAAGATTGAAGGCAACGCCTGGTTGCTAGTACTTTATCCAAACCAGATCAACCCAGACGGGATTAACACCCGCTAATCTGCACTTCTTAGTAGGTTATTCAAGCCGCAGGAGACTCGCTTGATACTTTCGTTTATGATATTCTTTAACTAAATGTGCTGCACAAATGCTGTCTCATGTTTTCGTTGGTACGATATTCTAGATAGCATAATACTACTTCAGAACTTCACTCATAAGGTTGCTGAAAACTTTTCGACGTTCGGTTCGACGTTCGGTTCCGCTCTTCTTTGGGTTCATCAGATGGGCGCACCAACTGAGACATCAGGAAGACTTCGTGCAGCAAGTTCGGTTGAAGAGAAATTCAGTTGAGTCTCCAAAGAAAACCAAACTGATGTGCAAATGAGTGCAGTTGTCAAATTTCATGCAATTTGGGTTTACGTGTAGCGTAAGCTTGACACAAACTCGGGACTCGTGCATAAATGATGAGCCCCAAGCTGAGCGAACAGGTAGAACAGTTTTCAGAAACCTTGTGATTATAAAAATCGGCAAGGTTCTCAGATCTCTTTAAGGTTAAGCAAAAAGTGAATCTGTCAGTGATAAATAAGTATTTCTGGGTTGTGGAAAGGTTTCCTTGCATATTGGCTATCGAACTGACATGGGTTATCGGATGAACCTTCTGTTACATAACGACATCACAGTAGAGGAGGAAAAGTTGAGCACTTGATCCGGAAGTCTGGTTATGTTTAATAAAATCCACATACGCAAATGCGCTATATTTTTTGATTCCATGGAATTGAACTGAGCTCTTCAACCTTCCATGTCCTCTCTTGTTTTTTCCGTCCTCGCCTTCGATCATGCAGAGTCGTATGAATTAACTAGTTTGCAGATAGCCCCTCGAATATGGATGCAAAAATCGTGGTATTTTGTGATCATAGAAGAACAATGCCCCTGGGCGATCATGGTCCTCACATGCAAACAAACACGAAACGGATGGATACATCTTACTTGTTGGCCGGTGGTTCTCCGAGCTTGGCAACTGCAACACAATTGCCCAGATCGGTGACCAACAAACAAGCGGTACACCAGATCTACCAGTGTAAAGGTGGTACTACTGATGGGGAGGCATGCGGGTAGTATGTGTTGTCCTTGGAATTTCGCTTTGCGTCTTTTGAAAAGGAGAGATCTGTTGAGGAATTTGTGGAGTCGCTTCGTGATATTTGTTTGGACTTGAGCAATGAATGATTGGAGTCAAGGAATATGCAGGAAAGTTCAAGAAGTCGCGTTCAGGAGAAGATGGTGTAAATAAGATGCAAATGAGCGTTTCGCTTCCCTGTCCAGTGGTCTGTAACCGGTTAGTAGGCATTTCCTAATAAATAACTCCGTGGCGAAGGCTTTCATCCTTTAACCAGTATTCCGCATCGTCCCACGTATCCTCTTCGGGGCAGTGACATGTTCCATATGATTACCTAGTAATATTCTGTAGGTAACTCCAATTTCCTTCGTCATTCTGGAGAAGGAATACGCCTACATGGACCATAATATCCCAGAGTCTATGTTGTGTTATTCTCAAACTTTTCAGTATTCTTCTAGGATACACAAAGTTCAGATGGCTTTGATGTCAGCTGTTCAGGATGCTGTCCGGAGAAGATACCACAGAGCTCTTGTTATACGAGTAGAATTGTATGCTATACACAGTGCTGGAGTCCTTCGTTCCTTTGTTTGACTCCAAAGAACATCTCATTACTGGTTTATATGCGTGCTAACATGGCGCATAGTAGGAGTTTTCATCTTTGACCTATTGTATTTGTAGACTCAGAACGTCATGAATGATGGAGAGAGGTGCACAAAGAATTACGCTGAGATGCCTCGCAGGCTGCACGGTGAAAAAACGATGTGGATGAAACACACCGCCACCTTACCGAACGCGTTGAAGAAGGTACTATCGGCATTTAATGAAATGTGCTTTTAAGGTGTTTTGGAGTTCTTCATTTTCTAAGGGGTAATGTACGGAAAAAATGAAACAATCATTTTTTGCGCGTTATAAACGACAGATGAACATTGAGCAAACCATACATGGTTTACGACGGGTATTGCAATAGTATGGACATTCTCGGGACTAACTTTTGAGGCCAAATGGTGCTTTCAGTTTGGTTGAAAGGATAAGAAGGGTATTTTAAGTTAACAGCGGTTCTGTTTTCAAAAATAGTACGGGGTTCAATATACGGCTCGTATGGCACTTTACTGATCCATCGGAGCATTCACGAAAGTGATAAGTGAACTCCATACACAATTCAGTGACTGGTAACAAGATCAAAGTAAGGGAAAACGTGGTGTGAACAACGGTGAGAGCGCTAACCAGTGTGCATTACAACACTAATGAAGAAACAGTGGCGATTTAATAACCACAAAGCACAATTTGGAGCAATTAGTGTTTTCAAGTTGCACCTTAAATTTTTTTCTCTAAGGGCTAATAAAATTTTGACCCGGAAGCGGGTAGCTTTTGGTGTCTACTTGGGAGTCTTATATAGGAAGGCGTGAGTTGGTCAAGAAATCCACAATGACGGTTGGTAACTCTGTTCTCCTTTGAGCTGGATAATTCCTCTGGAGTCTAAAATCATGCACTTTAGCGCTTGGAAACTCTGACGCATTATCCTGAAGAGCGGAGCTTATTCTCTATTCCCGGTTCGCATAAATATTACTGCACACGCAGCACTGCTGAAGTCTTTTCCACCCCATTGCTTTGATCAACGAGCAGATCAACAAGCAAATGAGCAAGAATAAAACATATACACTAGCTTTCATTAGTTCGACATATCGCAAAGCGCCAGGGTTATTAACAGCAAGAGTAAATGACGAAATCAATTAAATGTGATGGATGAGTAGAATGACTGTTCACGCCATCCTGACATCTACGTTATTGCAGATGTTGAAAGCTTAAATACCTCAACAGCCACAAGCTTAAGCGAACCTGTGGATAGGCACACTGCTATGTGAAACCTATGGAACTGGTTCTCAGGTCTGTAATGATCGTGCAGCTATGAGTGTGAACTAGTTTGCTTGTGTAGTTAATCAGATAATATAGCAAAATAGATTTGTTTGTCTTTCCGGGTTTCTTTCAATTTTGTTGCAACGATATTCTACTTGGGCTTTACTTTTGTAAAAAACGTGAGAACAAACACTGGTCTGCTTGACAATTGCGTAGAATGATGAATTTCCATTTTGAGTGCATTGCGAACGTTCTGCTTTATTGCGCGTATCGATACTTTGGTGCTAATCACTTCAAGTGCATTGTTTAAGACATAACAGTGAACGGGCTTGCCGGTTAATCCGACACTGAACCAAAGACGTTGCAAATAGAAGGTTTCGAGTCTAACCTACCCTGGGGATCCTCGTAGCTGTTACTTCTCAGTCTCAACTGATCTGTCATACAGTCCAACAATCTCCATCTTTGTAGACATGGCCACACATCTTGCTGTCTGGTCAATAGCAAATGGAAATCGGCAAATATGTTGCAATTTTATGAGTTCTGCAAACTTTTTAAAAAAATCCTGCGAAAGTTCACTTCAGAGCGATCCAGAATTTAGAGGCTTATTGATTGTAAATGACGATTAAAAATCCAGTTACTATTTACTCAGACCTTGTACTTTGCAACACAGATTTGTCGCTAGCTGGTAATACAATAAAGGAAGATATGTTGAAAATCCGGTGCGCAAGATGTAACGATAAAGGACTCTAGAGCTACTTTCTAGACGTCGAAAAAATCCACCCCGTTTTCATTTTACCTATGACGTTGTGATTCCCGGAATTAATGAGCATATCGTGAACAAGTTGTCTGGTCTGTTGAAAGGCTGAGGAGTTTTCATTCGCTTCTCGCTAGACACTCCATTCATACTCATACCCTAGAGTGACGTGGTTTACTGTAAGGACTTAAGTGGCACCTGCGTTAGGGTATTGCAACTTCAGTTACGTAATATGTGAAGCTCGATGCTCAAGACGTACCTGTGATGGGAAGCTTCAGTGAAACCTTGACCGTACAAATTATAGATGATCAACCACGAGGTCAGGTATATTAAACCGTTTTGAGTAGTACATATTCGCTTTTCTTGCCATGCAGTGAAACCCTACGAGCGGCCAGATAACGGTGACAATGATGTCTGAGTCGACTCTGCCTTTTAATCAGACTGTTTTTGGCAATAGCCTAAAACGCAGTCCGGACGATGAAAGAAAGCAGACTTCGTACGCTGAACAATTCAAGGCGGTGTAATCTGGCTCAACTAAGTGACGGAAGGATGAAATAAACGACCTTGTATAATTCTAGTTTTCGCTCCATCTGAAAAAAAAACCATTAGCATATGAAGATCGTCTTTGGTTTTCGAGTGTATTACTTAACGATCAACAGGATTTTTGTGAATAACTAGAAGAAGCGATGCTAGTAGACAAAAAGAAAAGTTTGTGGAACCCAGTGGGCCAAAGTCAAATTCGATCAAGAGGAAGTGGCTTCGAAACATCAAGTTTAATACGTCCCTAAATCAGCCGAGTAAAAATTACCCGCCGAAAGGGTTGTTTTTGAGTTCTTCTTGCAGTCAGATTGTCCACTGCTAATCCTATTACGCGGTGCGGTATCTTTATTGTACCTTTCCATCAGAAACCTCGCGGACGACCAAGGAAGCAACGTGATGAGCCAGCGCTTCTCAAGTCTGTTGAAAGTTGCGCAAGAGTAAGAGGTGTTGGAAACCCAGATTACTTTGTCTGTTGTGCATTACCACTGGGAATGCTCAAAGGGAGTGTTCATACTTGCTTTTCCAAATATCGTATTTCAGATGACAATTATGGTTTAGAAAGTCGGCGTTTATGAGCATCCGCTCAAGAGAGAAGGCCTTGATTCGAGTTTTGAGTAGCGTACACGATTGACGACATGAACACCACACAGGTGCAGTCAACGGCAAGGGTTTTAGTAAGACTTATTCAGGCGATCTCACAGTTGTTGCACTTGTGAAATCACAACGAAACATGTACTGTAACTGCTGTTCACAGGAGTCGTATGCACTTGCCACTGATCCGCCCTGTGAGAAAGCACCTGTTCGTTAGGTAAGTAGCCATGCATTTATTAGTAGTTGCAGTAGTAGCAGTATGCTCAAAAGTTGGGCGATCATCACGAGACTGATTGGTGTGAATAGGTTGTCTTCTCTTGCGGTTAACCATTATTCAGGGCACGTGTTACTGACTGTCTTTATCCTCGATTCACTTGGAAAAGGAACATTCACCATGTTCCTTTGGGCTGCTTTCCTGGAGATGATCTCCTTCTAAAGGTTCTTATGTAACTCAGCAAAGAATGATGGGGAACTTCAACAATTTAGTTGAGATCACGTGTGCCGGTGCCTGCAGAGACCAGGTGGCTGACACCGCTGGATGTCAGTATGTCACAAAACTGTCTTTGTGAGTGGCATGTTCATATTCGGACTTGGATATTTGGAGGAGTCCCAAATCCTCAGGGCTATCGATTGGGTCCTTAAGTGAAGTCGATAGCACAAAAATCTTGGCTACTAGTTGGCTAATGCTAGCAAAATGTGAGAAGACTAGCTCAAAATTTTAAAGTCAACACACCTTACAACAACCCATCCCGAGCTACAGGAATCTGGACAAATCAGACCGACTGATGCTTACCAACTTGATACGAGAACTTCCGAAGGTTCTCGCGGACTACTCAGGAGTTACACAAAATTCTATTTGCCCGAACGTCTTTTGTGGTACAGCATTTGAAGTTTTGGAAATAATACGGGAAGATTATCAGGCAGTTCGCGTTTTTATATTATGTAACTTGAAATTTGAAGTGACTAATTAGTACGTACAATTACTCTTAATTTCAGAAACTGCATCCTGGAACGGACGTGACCGCACACAGATCAGAGAGCACAGAATATTTGAGGGTCAAGAATCAAAGCTTTACCGTGAATGATACAAGCCCCGATAATGGGTCGATTTCTTCATCACCTTGTCCATCGCCTTCATTACTTCAAAGGGCTGATGATCAGTATCTAGCATTATTTCGGCTGCAAGGAGATGGACATACTACAACTGCCGCAAAGGCGTGTGAAGTCACAATGGACGCGTCTTTATTTTCGCAAAGATATAGTCAGATTTCAAGACAAGAGCAGCAACCAACACCGTATATGAGAAAGGCAATGATGGATTTACAGGAGTATTCCTTGAGCTCCCCAGGTGAAATCATTCAAGAGGCGGTAGAACCTCCCAATAAACGGCACTTCTATCCAATATACAAAATACCCTTTCATCTTCAGCTCGTTCGCACTTAGTGACCATACCTTACTACAATTATCCTTCCGTCTGGTCCATTATGATTCTTGAGTTACCGGATTGGTGGACCAAGTAATTAAAGGATTAGCTACTGCAGTCAACTAATCATCAACTGTTCGTCATATGGAAGTGACTTTCGTGTGGACTAAGAGTTGAATATTGTATCCGGAAGCCATACAACATAAAGTTTTTTAAATTTACATTGGTTTTTTGAGGTTTTTGTTTTCGGAGTTTCTGAAGGTTTTAGCAGCCTCGAATGAATTAGTAAGTTGAATTACCCACTCCACACTGTGATCGTATAAAGCTCGTATGAAGCTTAGTGCATGACCAAAGCCTATATGCGGGGTCAATGAAACTGACTCCTTGAATATCTTACCATAATTAGTTTGCTGAACGTGGAGGGGGTTGAAATAATCAAAACCAATTCAATGCACATATAGTTAACAAGCTCTACCGGAAGTTCAACAGGTACGAGTTTTAACGATAATCCATTTCTACTTGAATCAATAAGCCACCATGAAAATGGTCCTAAGGAATAGACACAACTGTTTGTCACGACTTATTCCCTCATCCAATTTTCATTTTGTGAGGCAGTGTTGACCTATTAAAAAGGGTTAAAGGTGTTACACATCTGTTTCGTCTTGACTTGGAACCGTCAGAAGTTCAGTAAGCCTTGTGGTGCAACCTTTTGGTGAACTGCTCAAGAATTTATTTTTAAGCTCTGAGGAGCTGATGAAGACAGACGTGGGTAGAGTTATGCACAAATCGTTCAGCTGTAACCTCCTTACCTGTACCACCTGAAAGAAGTATGAGGGATGAAGTACCACCAGGTTGCTCAAGCTTATAGAGGGGACGATGAGGTTCTAAAGCGGGGTTCAAATCAAGAATATTTTGCTCAATGTGCTCGCGCTTTGAAAACTGAGCTATCTCGACTTCAGTGCGGCGTAACCTTTCCTTCAACCGTAAATTTTTGGTAATCCTGACCTTGCCTCGCCTCTCAAACGGCGACTCCTCAGAAAGCCTGTGTGACTTTAGAGTAGGAAGTAAAAAGAAGCGGGATGCGATATTATGTTGGGAAAGTCACAATAGGAGTCCCAAGGGGCCGAGATTCACCAACAACGCTCACAGGAATCGGTTAATCAAACTATCGGGTGTCTTGCCGTTGAGACGAATGACAGTTAAAAATTCATAGGTAATAGGTTGCATACTCGCCAGTTCGGGGAAATTGTTTCCAAAGTTTCCATCCTCAATATGCCTCCGATGTGTGACAATAATACCGCCTTGATAAGTTAAGACGTGAAAAACCAGGTTTCTATACTTAGTATACGTATCAACGAGGATAACGGTCGCCTATTCTGCCTGCTGTTGGAAGCAGTACATAATGACTGCTGTGTATTTTGGAGTACCACCTGAGACTTACCAAGTCATACATGATTCAAATTTAAAGCTTTTCAAATAGCATATCGTAGTTATCATGTGTGTCGACTAGTTTGCTAGTAATATGGTTATTGATGAGTCATCTTGATGGACATGGGCAATTTTCCGAAAATAAATAATTATCGGGTTAAAGTTCAACAAGACAGTCTTGCGGCGGCTTTTCCAGGTACTTAAATTCACGCACTTAAGTCTGAGTCGTAAAAAACAGGCAGTCGCAAAGATTTTACTGTTTATCCTCTTTAAAGAGCTACATAAAAGAGCGTAATTTCTGGGCAAGACCGTACTACTGAAGAAGTTTTTGGCAACCAGAGAGGATTGATTTTCTCGTAAGGGGAACCTCATGATTGCGGGAACAACTTTGTCTTAGAGCCGAGTAAAGTGGCACAGACCTCAAGTGCACTGATGACTCGCAAAAATAGATGCAAATCTGTTCACAAAGCTAATAGGTTAGGAACAGGCAAGGCAAGGGTACTTTTGATTTATTCAGCTCGTCAGTACGTTATGCTTTTCAACACCTAAAAGCACATATCCTGTTAGTGTGTTTCCACTCCTTAAGCAAAATATGTGACCCTCCCACAAGCATAGGCAGTCGAATATACGATTGGAATAACATCATCCATAAGGAACACATCAAGCGTAAAAATAAAAATACAATGGTGTGACAATAGTAAACGGAATCCGGCACGATGATAAATTACACTCTGGTTTTGCGGGTATCTTCACAGTTGTTTTGGCATCGAAAATCCCTTCTCGTTTATGTGGTAGTCGTGTGGGTATCTACGCGACGCTGGAATTTTTGTCCGATTTCGTTGCATGCAGCGACTCTGAAACAGGGTCTGTGTGGAATGCAATGCGGTAGATGAAGTATGGTTTTGTGATCGAGGTATCTGACGCGGTTCTGAGTGGGCTGTGAGCACACAGTGTAGCACCCGCCGTACTAGTGTTTGGGAGAACGGGACTTTGCTTGTTCCCTCCTGTGGTTTTGCATAGATCATCACTTTCGGATTTTTCCTCCTGAGCTAGAAATGCAAGAACGAGTGTGTTTGGATAGTTAGTTGTTCGGTAGAAGACAGTCTGATTGTTAGAAGTTTTTTTTACATATAATCCACACGTAGACCTTTAAATGTATATCAGTATATTTTATGAGAAACGTAAATTTTTATAAACAATAACAGGTTATTTGCAACTAGCATTGGACATTCCTTTGAATAATGTCATCCAACAGCTCAATTCTACATGGTAAGGAGGCAAACCTGCTTTCGGCTTAAGAATACGTTACATCATAACCAGAACATGATCTAACTATTTTTTAGTCGTAGTTAGTTTATTCATACAAATGCATTTCATTGAGCTATAAAGTCCGAATAAATTACCGGAATACAGGCGAACGTTTACCGACTTCATCCCGTGTGAGACGGTACTTTTTAAGGTCGAGGCGTGAATAGGGATTTTGTGTGAGTGTATGCAATGGTGCAATCAGCTGACTTAGATAATGAATGAGATATTTCTATGCTGTGTATCTTAAGTCTAACATGGAAGAAGTCGCCAAGCGAGACCTAATTACTTCCTACTAAGTTAGATTGTTGTGAGAAAATTTGCCAACTTAAATATTGGGAACCTTTGTTGGTCAAAAAAAACAACTGCGCAATATATTAATTTGCATACCAATTTGGTATCAAAGGAGAACGAAGTGTTCCAGGCTGGCACTGAAACTGTCTCCACGCGCCAGTCCTAGAATAAGACAGTGTGCATCCTGTCCAGAGAATATGAAGTAGTACTTGAAGCTCATGCAAGTCACCAAGCACCTGACACTATGATATGCTAACATACTTGTGTCAATAAAATGGTCGCGTAGATGTCTATCCCCGTAAATTTAGAATACCATGTTTACTACTGAAAGCAGGAGAAACATGTAGGAATGAGTACTGCTTCACGTTCTTTCAGTGAATTCATCCCATCGAAGGCGATATGCATCTGTGATCAATTATTCCCAATTACACAATGATAATGTGCTCATCTCAGTGCTGATGACGTTAACTTTGGGGATGCGATAAAAATTATGATGATGGCGCTGCACATCTTTGTCATCATGTTAACTGTTCCTTCTTGCGACTCGTATAAACAATAGTAATTGTAATATCAACAATTGTAGAAACAACAAAGCATCTAAGTGTGATGCCGCCTGTCACCGTTGAAAACGGCCGGGTACCGATATATCGTGCCAAATTTTCTCCGAGTTATTTAACTGAAAGTTGAAGATTGATGGTGCGACGTTCCCCCTATCGCTGTTCATCCGAACAGTTAGTTTCGTTCCCATAACGAAGTAATAACATTGGTGGTTAATAAATGTCCTTTAGTTGTTGGTGGTTGCAGGAGCTGTACATTTCACGTTTACATCACCCTCCTAGCGCATTTACTTTAGTGGAGAAGCAATGGACACGATTTTCGTTCTTATTAGAGCGGTGCATAATCTTGACGGCGCCGGGATGTGAACTCGAGGAATCTGATATGTGAGGTGAGGGTGTTACCGCCATTCCACCGGCGCACGCTGGAATCATGTGAACCATTACGTCTGAACAGGCGATGTAATTTGTCGGCCCAACGCCTTGACCTGTCCTGTGGGTGTCAAGCGTTTGGCCCGCCTGTCAGGAACTCCCAATCAGGTAGCGATAAGAGACGCCCCATCATCGCTCTAGGCTTCGGGTAAACCAGTCACATCGCCCAAGCGTGATATATCTAGCGTGAGCTGTTGGAATAGTGCTAACACCCTCGCCTGTATGTCGGATATCCCAAGTTTAAACTGCGGCACGGCCGAGTATATGCACAGTTGATCGGCTCTGATGAGAAGAGAAATCAAGTTGAGTGCCCCTCACTTTGCTGTTGCTTACCAGAATAAAGACTTCAGGGCGTGAAGACTACTGTTCAGCAGAGAGTGATGTGAACGTGACGTTTAGGATAGTTGTTCAAAGTTCGTTAGTGTTAATGATGGATCGTCGCATTATTCTACGGTCGATATTTGAACAGTTGTAGTCAACGTTTACCCTTGCTATGCAGTATACCCAAAAATGTTTAAGTGATGCTGACTTACAAAACGTGGGATTCTCGACGTTACTCATGCAGGTCGCCAGCTTTCTCAGCGTCGAGTATTCGCACATTCCAGATGATCCACAATTGTTGTCCAAATTGTCAGCGGTTGACGTGAAGTAAAAGCCATTCTAATGTACAAAAAGTGGAGGAGCCCCAGAAGCTGAATTCACAAGTGTATACTATCGGAATTCTCAAGAAATACTGAGAAGATTATATGGGATTTTAAGTGAGTTGTACTAAGATACCACATTTTCAATTCAAAACGCTGGCAGCACCTCGTCATTGCCATATTTTTTCGATTAATGACACACTTGGCCGTGATTCATTAATGTGCAAAATAATTCAGCCGATGTTTGCTAAAATTTATGCATTTTGTTGTCATGAAAAACATTGGTGTATTAGTGTTCAGAAACCTAGTTCAACGAGTTCATTGCAGCATTTCAAACTGCATTCTCGCAATCCACTGAACGACCACAGCAAAAACTAGGTGACGGCCAAGAACGTTCACTGAATTGTGTATCCCAATTAAGCTGCACTGTGAA